CTGCATCCGATGACCAAAGCATCCAACCTTCAGCCTGCCAGTGCCTGCCCCACTTCAGAGGTCCACGGGGCCTTCCCCAAAGCGTCTTCCAAATCCTTGAGCCTTCTGCCCTAAATTCTAAGAGACAGCTGAGTCGAACTTGGCAGACAATCGCTAACATCATACGGCGCTGGTACTAAGATTTGCCATGCGCCCCTGTGCTTCGCCCTGTGTTTGCTGCTTGTTGGCTGACCTTGCAACCACGAGAAGAGGATGATTGGCAGATGCCTCGCTTTCAGGATTGCCCTGGAGCGCGCGCTGGCCGACTTCCTTGATTCAAGGCACCGTTGCAGCTTTCGTTTCCAGGAAAAAGGAAGACTACAGCTTATACCGGTACAGGATCAGCGCTCTTTGTCTCTTTGGCCTATCCGGCTTCTCTCTGTCTGTGATTTAAGGTGAGGAATCGACATTGGAGTTGACATGAAGAAAACTGATTTAGTGCAGCTGCCGATTCAGCCAGCTGCACTGCCTCGCCTTGGTGGTTTGAGCGGCTCAGCTAAGCACTTCAACGACTGTTCAGTTTGGTGCTGAATGCAAATCGAGAATCTACCGCCATGGCGTGCCTCCTGCTATGACTCAGAGCACTCTCAAAGCACATGCTGCAGAATTTAAGATCCCAAGCGCATGTTTCGCGGGTGCAAGCCTGGGCTCGCTCAGGCTGACCGCCAGCTTCCGAGTCCCTGGGCCTCGGCTCTTAGCATGTCAGTGTCTGCCGCTGTCTGTCCACAGCTCCTGAAACACAACCGGATCGCGTCGTCCCATGCCAAATTGAATCGACCTGGCCGGACATTGACTGCCAGCAACAAGAAAGCATTGAAGCTCGTCGCCTCAGAGGTTGTGGAGCTTCTAGAGCCAACCCACCTCATCTAGCTTGCGCCCACACACTTTGTCCGATATTCCGGTGAGAGCGACTCTATCAAATGTAACTCCAAATAGCCTATCTCATTCACATAACTTGACAGCAGCAGTCATTCAGAACAAATATACTCAGGGATCTTTCTGAGTGAGTTGTCTGCAGCTGTCGCAATGAAAGCCGTTGTGCCTTCGAGGTTGCTCGGCAGGCACTGACAAGGATGAGGAGGATTGACTGGAGGCCTTTCCACAAGCTTGGGGAATCTGTCGCACAATCCGAATATTCCTGATACTGAAGGAAATGCATTCCGTGCCTCGTCGTCGTGCGGGAACTGAGATGTCAGCAACTGGACCTGACAGAACCGCCGCGTCACCCAGCATTTCACGCCACACGCCCACAACTGGGGGTTCCGAGCCTTTGCTTCCAAGTTTGACAGCCGCTGCCTGCAGTAATGCTGAGCGTACCACATTACAAAGCACTATGCATGATAGAGTCTGCTAGAGATTACTGTAGCCCCTTTTCCTCAAAGCACCGACACGGTCACTTGACGATGGACGGATCAATGGCGACGTTCTGGGTGACCCTATGCAAGCCAACAAGCTGAACGGCCTGACGTCATGGATCTCAATGACTTTCGCGGGAGCAGGCGGTTGGGTCCAAACGATGCTGGAGTCCTGCGGCACACATGCAATGAAGAAACGCTACTTCAACCCACAGGAAGTCTTGGCTGGCCTCGGAATCAGCTCGCCGATAGAATTCCATGACACGGCCCGCTGTGTTCCATTCGAGCTTCACCCAAACCTTTGCCGAAGTTGTTGCAGCAAGTCATGCGCGCGAGGAACCAACACCTCCGATAACCGGAGTGGATTAGGCTCAATCAGCTCTCCTATCCAGCCAAATCTGTTTGCATTCAAGCCGCAGGCGGGTGCTCCACTTCAGGATCTGCTGCAGCGGCTGCCTACTGAACAAGATGTCCCAGCAATGTGTCTCATCTCACGCTTCAAACCTTCCAAGCCCCCTCTCCAGAATCCACAAACTTGAGAGGTGCCCTCCAAAAAACCCCACAAAACATCACACAACTATCCCTTCATAAGTTGAATGAGCTCTAAAGATCTGAGTAGAAAGTCTGATGCCATTTCCAGACTGCTTGTGATTATATCGCTCATTGACGACACATGTGCACATGTGAACTTCTACACCCTGATACACCCGCCTGGTACCCCCCCCAAGAGCCAGGTTTGTAAAATCTTCATTATGCCCCAGAGCATCGTAGAATGTTTGAATCGTAAAATATGTTTTGCAAAGCAGTGAGGCCTCGCAGCATTTTCCCAAAAATAAATTGAGGCCTCTTAAGGTTTTGAAGCTCCCACCTCGAGCTTTTTGTGATTTTCATGCAAGAACATTGGGAGGCGCCTAACAACTCAAACGACTCAATCTGTGGAAGTCCTGCATGGGGAGCCCCCAAGTCACGAAAAGATTGAGACCTTTCGAGATTTTGGAGCTCCCACGGTCCGAAAATGCTGAGAGGCCTGAATCTTTTCGAGTCTTGAAACCCCAAAAAATTGAGCCCTCTCGAGGTTTTGTAGCTCCCCGAATCCCAGAAGGCTGAGAAGCCTCAATCTCTTTTTGAGGTTCAGGACTCAACAAGATTGAGGCCTTTCGAGGATTTGGAACTCCTAGATTCCGACAATGCTGAGAGGACTCAACCCTGTTGACTTCGGGGCCAGTCTCCCAAGACCTGTAAAGCATCGAGTCGGCTTCGGGCCTCCCAGCGTTTTCGTCTAAAAACCCCGAAGCAGTTGAGGCCTCTTGAGGCTTTGGCCTTTGGGAACTCCGGCCTTTGAGATATGTGATACTGACAGACTGCTCTTGCACCAGCAGCAACATCACTACTGCTTCGCGAAGCGGAAAATGTTGGAATCCTGAAGTTCTGGTCTTGGATGTGGTGTTCCTTTATATATGAATGCCTTTTAAGATCAAATTACCCCTTAACGGAAAATTCAAGAATCCTGGAATTTTTGGTTTTGGAGTTGGTTTTCCTTTATAAGCCAGTTTAAAAATCCAATTAGATCCAATTCGAAAACACAGCAAGATCCTGTTTTGGATGTGTTCCTTTATATGAACTCTTTTAAAGGCGAACTCGAAATTCACGGGTAATCTTTTCTTGGATGCCGTGTTCCTTTATACAAGTTACGTTTAAGATCTACTTAAAATCAAGGGGAAATCTTGCAATCCTGGACTTCTGGTTTTGGATGTGGTGTTCCTTCATAATTCCTTTACAAATCGAAGTAGGAATCTACGGGACATCTTTTTTTGAGGTGGTTGAAAATCTTGGAAACTTGGAATTCTGGTTTTGGAGTTGGTTGACCTTGAAATCGAACTTGAAATCCAAGGTTTTTTTGGGAGGTGATTTTCTTGAAAGCTTACTTAAGACTGAAAAGAAAATCTTGGAATCCTGGAANNGAATTCTGGTTTTGGAGCTGGTTTTGCCTTTCAGATTCGATATAGAACTTGAAGGGAAATCTTGGGATGCTGGAATTCTGGTTTGAAGATAATTTCCCCGTATATATATATGTATATATTGTTTTTTCATATTTATATTCGCTCATAAATTCTTTTGAAAGTCTAATCAGAAACTGGAAGGAAATCTTAGAATCCAGGAACTCTTTGTCATGCCGCACACAATCAAAATGCTCAAAACATAGGTCTCTCGAGGGGAGGCGTAGCGCCCGCCTCTGGAGGCGAATCCTGGAGGCTGACATCCAAGCGATCCAGTTGTCTGCGCATTTCCTCGACTACCTGGGCGCTGCTGCGGTTTTCATGTCTGGTGTCATGTCAGGTGTCTACGGGGTGAGCAGCGTCATTGAGAAATCCAGGCCTTCTCTCCCTACCAAAGGCAGCCAGAATCCAGCTGGATTGGAATGCACTTCGTAACTGCAGGGAGGCCCGACCTCCTTGTCGTAGTCTGTCAGCAGACTAGCTAGGTCTTCCCGCTCGAAGCATTGAACATCGTGCTGCAGCTCGGACTTCCTTGGTTATATCACATGGCCTGCCACTACATCCATCTTCCTATCGCAGCACCCAGCCTACAAAATGTTGTCGCGTCATCTCTTCATATCCCCGTACCTAACAACGGCTGGCGGATCAACTCCCTATGTTTCCCCTGCATATCCCTTGATCTGAACAATGCAAACTGTCAGATGGTGACTGCCCAGCCCTCATGCTTCCTGATCCCCGTCATGGTGGAGACGCTGGTTTTGAAACACTGCCAACGATGAACCGCTGCCATCAAAGGTTTTGGGATACCTCCATGCTTTGAACCTTGAGCCAGCTGAGGCACAACTCCCAGCAAAGGCGTGCCTCAGCGCTGCATGCATAGCAGTCTTAGGATGCAGCTACGGACTGACTAGAAGTCTCGAACCCTTGAAGGTGCTAAGAAGTTCAGCCGAGCTGCCAAGGAAGTCTTCAGTCCACGTCTGCCCTCTTCCGCACCAGGGTTCGGTAGGAAAGGCACACGGATTGTGTCCGAAGTCAAGGGCTCCTGTTAAGCCATGAAAGCAGGAGCTGATTTTAAGCCAGTGTCGTGGTAAATGGATGTTTCAAATAGACATGGATGTTTC